AATGATTTAGAGGTTGTTATTCATGCATTCATTTCAACAAGGCTGGATTACTGTAACGCTCTTTATGCTGGAATTAACCAGTCTTCACTATCACGTTTACAATTGGTACAGAATGCTGCTTGACAGGGACAAAAAAGAGGGAGCATATTACCCCTGTGTTAGTTTCACTTCACTGGTTACCTGTTAAATTCAGAGTTGATTTTAAGGTTTTAGTTTTAATTTTTAAAGCACTTCATGGTCTTGCCCCAATTTACATTTCAGATCTTCTCCATTTCTATTCTCCTGTGAGAACGCTTAGATCGTGTTCTCAGAAGTTATTGATTGTACCAAAATCTCGTTTAAAATCTAAAGGGAACAGAGCTTTTTCAGTTCTTGGTCCTACACTCTGGAACTCTTTGCCTTTATCCATCAGATCATCCCCTACGTTATCTTCTTTTAAATCATCTCTTAAAACATATCTTTTTTCTCAGGCTTTTGCTTAACTTGAAAATACTTTTTTGTTTTGTTTCTGTTTGTTTCTTTGGTTTGGTGATGTCCTGCATTACTTATTGTATTATTTAATGATTTCAAATTTTATATTGTCTTAATGCTTTTGTTAGTTGATTTTTCTGATGTTTTGGTTGTGCAGCACCTTGGTCAGCACTCGTTGCTTTTAAGGTGCTACATAAATAAACTTGACCTTGACCTTGACCTTGACCTTGTGTAATATTCAGCGTTTAAGGACTTTTATACTAAACACCTTTGTGAAAGGTGAATAGGTGCAATACGGCACAGGTTTGCAACCGTGAAGGATACAATCTATATTTTAATGGATAAATTAATGGCACATATTGATACATATTATGACGCATATACGATATATATATATATATATATATTGTCAGGGGTCTCCTCTGACAGTCTTGTCTACCCTGTTGTTGTTTAATGTTTCTCTGTTTGTGTTGTGTTTGAGCACATGGCTCCGTCTTTGTTTCTGTTTGCCATGTGCTCCTCTTGTCCTGCCTCCTTGTTTCCCATTGCCAGACCCCCTTGTTTAGTCCTTGTTGGGTCCTCGTTTGTCTGAGTGTTGTCACCTGTTCCTCGTCTCAGATCCCTTTATATTGTGTTCCCTTTCCCTCTTGTGTTGCCAGTTCATCATACTAACTATTTTTTGAGCCACTGTGCGTCCCCTGTTGCTTTAGTCTGTAGAGTAAGCTTCTTGTAGTTCTACATGTTTACTCTAGTTTTGTTCCGTCTTTTGTTCATGACTGTCCAATTGCCATTGTTTGGTTTTATTCTATTTTAGTTTTCTCTTTATTTTGCCATTGTAGTTGACTTTATGCTTTTTCTCTAGTTCTTTAGTTTATTCCTAGTTATAGTTTTCGCCTTTTGTTTTTTACTTCTATAATTTTTTATTGGTGGTTTTGCATTTGTCTTTGCTTTCTGTTTTGTCTTGTGTCTTGTCTGCAGCGTCTCTGTTCTGTTCCTGTCCTGGAGGCTGAGCATCTCTGGCCGATCTCTGTTCTTGCCTAGCAGCAAGACCTGTGCGGCGCTTGGGTGACCACGAGTGTTCAGGCCCTTGTGCTAAGGGTTCCTGTCAGAACTTCGCTGCTACCTACTGGTCTTACTCTGCCCTGCCATTACTGCTGACCTGCCTGCTGTCATCTTGGCCTGGACTCAGCGGCCACTCTCTCAGCCTGCCTGTCATTGAGCTTTATCGGCCTATTGTTTAGACTGTGTTCACTCTCCTCTTGTCTTGTCAGCCGTCCTGTGAATAAACCTGTTAACACTTGTTCTGCATTGAGTCCTCTCTCCTAGAATCCCATATATATTTAACTTTACACCTTAGTCAGGTTCGACGTTGTATTGAATTTAAAATTTGTCTAAAAGGTTTTTTTTTTTCCTGAGACTTTTTGCCAACTGAAAAATCGGTATGTTGAGTCCAATGAATGTATACTTCTATCCCTCACAGCCTCATTTTGATTACTGTCTAAAATTAAATAAGGCATTACCCTGACCAAGATCTATTGACAAAATAATATTTAATGGTTTCATAGTCTGAGAAAATAAGCAAAAACTAAAACACTCAAAAACTTTGAAAAATAGCTATTTCTCTCTCCCTTATGGGACAAAAAATCTATTAGCGGTTATTTTACATCCAATTACTGTGCAACAAAGTGGCCAGTCCACATTCTATTAGATTCGGTTCATTGTTGCAACACTGGATGGACAATAATAAACAAACCACTTATTTGTTTTTATTTGAAGTATTGAATTCACTTGCACACATGTCCAGATGTATCGAGAGACACTGAGCTTATAAGGGTCGGGATATTTTTTTAGATGAATGAAGGTCTTCCAGATGTGGGCAGATTGTGGCCCCAATCTTTTCTCTCAAGGTACATTAAATGTGACCCATGAGGATGACAGTTGGTGTGTGAAATTACATTTCTGATTTCTTTCTTGTCGACAGCCAGTGGTCATGCTAAATCTTGATTTGTTGAGCAGAGCTCCTTGCCAGAGGATATTATGTAGTTATTATTAAAAGGTAGATTACACACAAGACTTTAAAAAGACCAGAGCGTTAACAGGATTGCCAAGCTATACATTTTCTGCATTGCATACAATATTTTGAGTGATCCAGTTTCCTCAAGATAATCTTGATTGATTTCATAAAAGACAATATCTTATACAACCAAAAATAAAAATAAATAAATAATAATAAAATGAAAAATGAAAAAAATTATAATGCAAAAAACTATTAAGGAAAAGAAAATATGCCCATATGCGTAGGTGAAATTAGATGTCTGCAACCCAGATGTTTTCATGATACATGGTTAATTAACACTGATGAGTTGCCACAGCTCATCACAATTACATGCTTCCCACAGTGGTTCTTGGAGGAATCTGCAATTCAGGTAATGCATGTGATGTGCTTTCTCCACAATAACATAATTTGCATGTCTGCGGAGTCCTTTTGTTGAGTTATGGATGGTTTTTTATTTTACTCAAAAAGGAAAAAAAACTCTCATAGTGAAAATGATCACAAATATTTAAAAAAAACTGCTATTTTATAAAAATCCACCAAAAATAATAAATAAAATAAATGCCCATAGCAATGTAGTGTTGGTTGAAAGAGTGATTCACTAAAATGCAAAAAAATTGCTTTGTAAGGGGCAGTTCCTTGGGCTTACTCTGAATCATCTAGCATCAAAACATCCCTTGTCACAGTACATGGGCACATAAATAATGTGTGCATTCTGTATTGTGAATGATGACAGTAAAATTATGGCCAAAAGAATGAGAAAACCCTCGACAAAGCAATGTCCATAATTTGCTTTGTCTGATGTTGAAGAATTTGAAAGGCCTCCACAAAGCCTTTCCCCAAAACCCCAGGAAACTTTTCAGATTGACACAACATCAGTGCCTGACCTTACTGTTTCTCCTTGTTGAACATATAAAACATGCCAAAATAAATAAATAAATAAATAAAAAACATGAATCCCTTCCTTTGCAGCCATAACAGCTTACACTCTTCGGGGAAGGCTTGCAACTAAATGTAGGAACATGAATGGGATTTGTGCCAATTCAGCGCATCAGTGAGGTACGGCACTAACTTTGGGCAAATGTTGGCTTGCAGTCAGTATTCCAACTGATTCTGAGGCTGCCCAAATACAATTTATCAGAAAAATTATAAAATTTGTAATAGCATTGTCTATCATCATGCATTGTCTTAACCGACTGGCAGATTGAGTTTAAGTTTAACGCGAATTGAGATGAAACCACCAGGTGGGGACCGTGAGCTTTTACTGAATTACTTGTGTCAAATTGAAATGAGTTGGAATAGAATAGGTAAATAAGTGGTTTAATGTGGAAAGGAACTGGCAAAACGCATAATACCAAATAATTTACATCGTTATCCAAAATTGTGAAGACCTATATTAGCCTTTTTCTGTCCAACCCGAAAGAACCACACAGCATCTTCCAACTTAAATAAAAGGTGAGCTCTGAATTTCAAATTAAAAAGAAAGAAATGGATTTCCAATGACGCGTTTATTCTTTTCGTTTCATTATCGTGCTCGCACAGCATCTGTGCGCGACCAAACATCATTTTCCAACCTGCGTGCCACACCTGGCGAGCTGTGAATCACATATGCAGATTACTCAAATGTCGTATTAAAAAGAGAGAACTGTATTTGAGAGGAAGCGTCCCTTCGTTTTCTCTCAGAAGCGCGTGTTCACAGCTTCTGCTTGTGTGTGCGAGCGCTGCGCACTTGGCAGCGACGCTCAGAGGAGTGAGGTGAGTGTAACCGAGAGCTAAAATTGGTTTCGTGATGAGGAAAAGTGAAGGAGCAGGGCGTTGCGATCTGTTGTCTTGTCGTCTTTGAAAAAACACAGGGCTCATCCTTCCTTATCACTGAATACAACTGACTGAGGGATACGATTTGGAACTCCTTTTGCGTCATGAAACTCAATAATTTGACTTTTTCTCAAAAGGAGACATGGTCGATTAAACATTAATACGACATCAAGCCAAAAAAAGAAAAGAAAAGAAAAGAAAAGCTTAATATTTTTTTAATAACATTCAACATTTTTTCCCAATAGGAATGGATTCGCCCATCACTTCCATTGACTTTCAAAGTAACTGGACAAACACCACGGCACAGAATGAAACCGATATATACTGGAACCAGTTTGTGCAACCAGTTTGGAGAATAGTGCTCTGGGCAGTGGCTTACAGCACAATTGTCATCGTCTCCGTTGTGGGCAATATCACGGTGATATGGATCATTTTGGCGCACAAACGCATGAGAACCGTCACGAACTATTTCCTCGTCAACTTGGCGTTCGCTGAAGCGTCAATGTCCGCATTCAACACCGTTATAAACTTTGTCTACTCCGTGCACAATGAGTGGTATTTCGGACTCTATTACTGCCGATTCCACAATTTCTTCCCCATAGCCGCCGTCTTCGCTTCTATATACTCAATGACCGCGATTGCGCTCGACAGGTAAGTTCATTCGTTTCCGTTCACACTGTGGCACGCGCCATACGCGCGGATCTCAGCAGTGCGCGTGAGGAAACGTTGGGTTGTTTTCATGCACCTGTCAATTTTGAGATTATGGGCTTTTTGGCTTTTAATGATTTGTTCATATATAATTTGCTTGATTATATACAACATTTTATTTTCCCCCAAATTGTGAAAATATAGTGTTTTCTGGCTGTTCAAAGTATTTTCTGAATTATGGAGTAACAAAAAGAGATACCCAAAATTCCCTCTGTAAAAACATTTGCGTCTAATATGTCAAAAAAATAAAAAATAAACAAGAATTTTGAAACTGACTTCATCCAGTGTTCAGATTTTTGTTCTAGAAATGTATGCAAATCAGCGCATATTTAATTAAATAATGCCTCATTTGCATATTTAAACATAACATTTGACAAAACTTGTAATACAAAAAATGTTTGCAATTATCAATGTAATCAATCAACTGGGTAAGTAAGGTGATAATTAGTAGTTAATTGTTTTACCCTATTCACCTGCAGTGTAAAAGAAAAAAAAAAAAGGCTGATTAGTTGTCATAGCACAACATGTAAAATTATTCAAAGAAGCCATCTTACCCCAAGGGCTTTATTTAATTGTTCATTTGTAAGAAAAGCACTGCAAGCATCAAATTGTGTATCCGCACTGTCCATCTCTGCTCCCTCTAGCATGTTGTAGTTATTGATTTAGCCCTGGCGCTGTTCAGACTGATGATCTGTTGCCCTGAGCTCCACTTATGTCAAACAGATGTGCTTGAATGCATGTTGGTGCTGCGTCTGACCTCTTCACCCGCTGGAGACTCTTGCATGAGTCTATTGTCAGTTCCTCATTGCTCACTCATCTTTTCTGGAACTGTATGTAATCATATTGTCCTTCAAGACATTACTTTAACTGAGCATGACTGGAGAGGCTGAAAACAAATTCATGGAAAAAATCTGACTGTCCATCACTTATAAGCTTTTGTGTGTGTGTGTGTGTGTGTGTGTGTGTGTTTACAGGTATATATGGTTTATGAGGACACAAATGTGTATAATGACATGGGTACTACAACGTAAACATGGTAAAACAAAAGGCTTAAAAAACATACAAAACGGTGTTTTATGAAATTCAAAAACTTGCAGCAGTTTCCTGTGAGGGGTAGGTTTAGGGGTAGGGTTGGTGTAGGGCAATAGAAAATACAGTTTGTACAGTATAAAAACCATTACGCCTATGGAGAGTCCCCGTAAACCACAAATACAAGTATGTGTGTGTGTGTGTGTGTGTGCACGTGTGCGTGCCTGCTGGTGGTTTAACTGTAAGGTTTTCCCATTATCTGTGGAGTGGAAGTTCTCACAATTTACTGAATTACGAATGTTAAGTTGACGTTTTGTTCTCTTTGATGTTTTATTTTTATACTTTGAGGCACTGAATTTCAAGGAAATTCAAAGCAATAGTTCATTTACTCTACCTTATTTTTCTAAACCCGTATGAACAGAAATAATGAAAAATGGGAATTGATCTGTCAAACTCCAAAATGACGAATGCACTATAAAACACCCATAAAAGATGATTTAGTAATGTTACCTTCTGTCAAAACCGCTAAAAATGTATTTCAAAAGTCATAGGCTATGGACTGCAAAAATGGTGTGTTAAAACTATTAATTGTCAGATGCCATTAGTTTTTACATGTGGTGCAATATTTGCTACAAGTGCTACAGTGGAACTATAAATTCAATCTGTTCTTCACACAGAGCTGTCATATTGCTTCAGAAGTAATTTATTATGATGCTTATATGATGTTTTTTTTTTTTTTGTCATTTGAAGCCAATCTTTCCGCTTTCACTTTTCTTATATGGAAACGAGCAGGCAATATTCTGCATGCGCTTTCCCATATAATAAAAGTGAAAGGGGAAAGATTTGTATTCATATTCACTTTTTTGTGTTCCACAGAATAAAGTCAGTCATATGGGTTTAGGCAAGGCAAGGCAAGTTTATTTATATAGCACATTTCGTACACAATGGTAATTCAAAGTGCTTTACATAAAAGAAAGTAAAATAATCATAAATAAATAATCACAATAATAAAACAAGGAATTTAAAAACTTGGAAAATAATTTAAAAATTGATTTAAAATGAATTTAAGACAGTTAAAAATATGGGTTTAGAACAAAATAAAGGTGAGTAAATGGTGACAGACGTTTCATTTCAATGTCACATTGATTTTCTTAACAAAAAAAGAAAAAAGCAAGAAATTTTCCATGTGCATAAATATTCAGCCCATGCAGGGGCTTTAAATTTACACAGAAGAAAAACATTTGTCTTAACAAGGACACAGCTGCCTAACAATTGGCCTGAACCTATGATTTATTAAAGGGGTCCTATTATGCTCTTTCACAAAGTCTTGATTTTGTTTTGGGGGTGTACTAGAACAGGCTCTCATACTAAGTTGTTTCAAAAACACATTATTTTTCACATATTTTCAAATCCCGGAAAATGTGCGTTGTAGTCCAAACGAGTCGTTCGTTGTAGTTTTTGAAAAGTGATTTCTGTTAAATAAAATATCTCCTTTTGAAGTGGACATTGAGCTTTGTAACTTTGCAGATCTTTTTTATGCTCAAACAGCAACATTACAGACTAACTAAAGTTGAAAAAGTGAAAAAGCATAATAGGACCCCTTTAAAATAAATTGATCATTATTCAGGTTTTGAATCTAAAGGACAGCTGTGAATAAGACTAGAGCATTCCAGGAAGTTAGAGACTAATTAAAAATAAGTTTAATCAGGAGAAGGAAATAAAAGTACAAAACAATAGCCAAACATTTGAATGTCCTGTGGGTAGAATTGTTAGAAAGGTTTGTTACTCAAAACTCTCTGCACAAACCGGATAAGGAGACTTATTAATGAAGTAACTGAGAGAGGCCAGTATAGTCACTTTGAAGGAGATACAGTCAATATTCTAAAAAAGAAAAAAAGGGAACTAATCAACCTAATCAAGAGCTCTGCTTGTAGGGAGGGTGTCACAGAAGCCATGTCACATGTCACATTACTGCCATGCCTGGAGTTAATATACAGTAGTAAACCAGATTATAGTCAGAGGAGACCTATAGAGATGTTAATCAGAAGTTAATTAAAACTTATGCTTCTGTTTACTCTTAACGATTATCATTGGCAATTCTTTTGAATTTGAAGAAGAAATGGAAAACAGAAATGCAATTCTCTTGCAAAATGCTGAGATATAGTTATAACCAGCAATGCAAAATGCTCACCTTTCTGGGAAATTTGCAGAATCTGTGACATACATGATTTGTGTTTTGGGGGTACGGCTGTTCTTGATGCCGGTGTGCATTTGACTACAGTAGCATTTCTTTAATCAAAGACCCGTCTCTGCTTAGTATTTTTTTTTCATGGTGAAAACAAATTGTGGCAATGCAAGGCTATAGAAGGGCCAGAATTTGCAGCTAGTCCACCCAACCAAATGAGATACAAAATTGTTTATTTATAGGTAAGAAGAAAAATCCTGTATACATGACAATAATTGCTTGAATACATGAACATAAGAACTACTTGCATGTGTAAAAATGTAAAGAATAAATAAAACAAGTAATATCCTGGCTGAGCTCTCCTCTTCCAGTTGTTCACTTCTATTATTTGGCGAATGGATAAATGCAAGAGCTGTCAATTTGAGTGATCAGTCCAATCCAGTAAAACAGTCCCTGATTGGTCTTTACTCATCGTCCCTACCCAGTATACCCACCCACCTTACCTGAGATCCAGTTTCTATCCACCTTTTTCCTACGTCTCATGACACTGCGAATGATGGGAGTGACTTCCCTTACGAAAAAGAAGTTTATTCAAGTGTACTATTAGTATACTTCTTTTAAACTAAAAATAAGAAAGTATACTTTCAGTCTACATTTTATGTACTTTTCAGAAATGTGCTTTATGTACTTCTCAGAAATATACTTAAAATGACATTTAAGTATACTTGACTTATACTTAGAAAAAGTCTAAATATATTTGAGCGATACTTGTGCTTCGGGAATCCATGTTTTCATTGTTATACGGTAGGGGGCGCTATTACACACCTTCTGTACAAAATTTCCAAAACACAAGCGAAGAAGAAACCGAAACAACAGATGCTTCCACATGTAATGTAACACGATCAGACATAAAACAGCATCAAAACTGTGTGATGTTATGGAATAAAATGTTGACCCATGAAGAGGTAATGACTGACAAGCTTTGGGCTGTTGATTGACTCCATCTACGTTTTGATTATCATTATCATTCATCTTTTTTTGTTCAAAATGTTGTTCATTTATTTCTTTATTTTTATTTATGAAACTTACCCACATTCAATAAGCATTTTCAAAAAAAAAAAAAAAACAGGTACAATGAGATGACATTATTCTACTAACCTTTCAACCATCAAACATTAACAAATCAATAACAAATTACTTTCAACAGACCATGAATAACCCCCCAAAACGTGATTTTTTTCTACTGCAATATCACAGGTGTGTTAAATATCACTGTAGTAATATACGTCTGTATTATGTAACATACGTAGCCTTAAAGGGTTAGTTCACCCAAAAATGAAAATTCTGTCATTAATTACTCACCCTCATGTCGTTTCAAACCCGTAAGACCTTCGT